CAAGCAGCAGGCCAGTCCACAGAGAAGCCCCTGCTTGGAGGCACAGCTAGGCTCACCTTCTTCCCTCAGAGGTGGGTGCTGCTGCCACAGCCCAGCAGGTGGCTGACTCTACTGGGCTTTCCTCCAGGCAGGGAGGCGGGAGATGAAGCCCCTAGAGAATGGCGTGCCTGGCTTCCCCCCTGCAGAGTGGATGGGGCCATCAGCCCCACAGGACTAAGCCGGCCACATCCCTTGGCCACCACCCACACCCCCTTACCTCTCTGGACCGTCACTCTTCTGGCATAGCTGTCCCGGTCAGGATCTCAGCTGCTGCCCGTCTGTCTGTCCCCGGCTTCCCTGCCCCGGCACCAAGAGCCAGGTACACTTTACCTGATTAAGCTTCAAACGGCAGCGACACACCCAGTAGGGGAGGGGGAGGGAGGGGTGCGGTGGGGGCTTCTCTCATCTGGGCTCTGTTCCCAGAGGGAGACAGGGCCACTCCTGGCCGCCTGTGATTGGCTACCCTGAGTCCTGGCCCAGGCGGACAGGTGATGCTGTTTTGTCTGCCTGCCTGTCTGCCCAGCCTAGCCCAGCCTAGCCCAGCTTAGCCCTGGGCCGACGCTGGGGCCACACCCCTCGTGTGGTGCGCAAGGAGGCCCAGAGAGTGTAAGTGGACAATCTGTGCCGCAGGAGAGCTTAGGAAATGTCATATGAGTGGCCAGGGGTCTCTTCCTGCCGGAGGAAGGCCCTATGGACAGGAGCTTGGGGGCTATGCTGTCGGGTGGGACCGAATAGGGGTGCTGAGAGGACAGCAGGGGACCCCAGGGACATCACCCCGGCCACCCCCTCAGGGGTCAGCTGAGCAGAGAGGAAGCGCTTTGCCCAGGGATGTGTAGCCAGTGAAGCCCAGCTCTGCCCGGTGGGCACGGCTGCCCTGGGCAGGGAGGCGGTATACAAGCTGCCCACCAGAGGTATGTTCTTTAGCCTCAGCCTCATCACCCTCACCCTGCGTGGAGTTCAACACTGCCTTCCCCCTGCCTACCCTGCTCCGCAGGCAGGAGCCTGGTGGGGCTGGCTCAGGCGCCAGTAGGGACTTCTCCGGGCAATAGCTGCAGCCCGCGTTCCCACCCATAGGGTGGTGTTGAGACCAAGATTACACGAACCTTCTGGGTGCTTCTTACTGGCCAGGTCACATTGCACACTTGCATTCACCCCTCCCAGTGCCCCCGAAGTGACCATGAAGGCAGGAGGATCTGTCCATTCTGCTAGGGTTAGACCCCAGTCTGTCTCCAGTGTCCACACTCCTGGCCACTGCACCGTAAGGTTCTCCTGGGCCGAGGAAGGTCCAGGGCCCATGAGTATGCTGGAGCCTGGCCTGTGCTGCTCTAACACCTTTCCCCACACCTGCACTTTTCCAGAACATTCTGTGTACCTGGGGAGGCTGAACTCTAGGAGATATGAGCTTTGAAGGTACCCATGGGTTTAGGGGCCCCAAAGCCACACCCCAGTCTCCAGCTTCCTCCAAAATTGTGCCACTCATAGTTCCATTTGCATTTGTTGTTTTGCTCCACATACACTCCCCACCCTTCTCTGCTCCTTGGAACCCATACCCACCAAACCCGGCCATGCATGTGCTAGCCGTGCCTTTCCTTGATCCCCACTGAAATGACTTCACAACTATGAGTAAAAAGTGTCCTCCTGGTAGCATCTAAGCATGCCTGGCACATGAGAGATGCTGTGGGGGACCACGGGCTTAACCCTCCTCATCTTACTCTCTGGACCAGCTGAGGCGTAGAGAGGAGACCCACCCTGCTGAGGCCACGGGCCAGGGCCCTGGCCTCCCAGCCTGCCCAGCTTGGCCTCTGCTCCATCTGCTGACCCCTGGAGCCTGGGAGGACACAGCTGAGCAGAATCCACTTGCCAAGGAGTGACATCAGCAGGGTCATCCTCTTTTGAGCCCAGCTCCTCTTCTGACTCCCAGGGCAGGACTTGAACTGTAGGAGCTGAGGGACACCTAGGTCAGTCCCTGACCAGGACATGACTCTGCAGGGCAGCTGGGGACCTGAGACCCGGCAGTCACTTCCTGGGCCTGACAGAGCCCGGCATGTAATTCTTTTCAATTGCTCCTGGGCTCCTCTTAGGAAGTAGGGAACTTCCGGTGGCTGGGCAAGAGGGAAGTGACAGGGCCCTGGTGGCTCCCAATAAGAACTGCTGTACCTCATGCAAATTGATGAGGACTAGACCCAGGAAGGTGGCAAGGAGGGACAGGGCAGGGCAGATTCCAGGGCTCTGGAGGGACCCTCAGTGACTCAGGGCAAGGATGAAGCCTGATGACCACCCGAGCTGGGCATGGGTACCACCAATGGACACAGAGCACAGACAAGAACAATTCACAACAGGGAGGGGTCAATTTTGAACTCCCCCAGCTGGAGGAGGATCTGGGGCTCCCAGGGGACAGGCCAGCAATGAGAACCAGGTCAGCAAGTGTGGAGCTCAGGGGCCGGCCAGGTCGCAGCTGTGGGCCACAGAGCTGTCAGAGAATCCACTTTTGGCGAGCATCTTTGGGTGTGGCAGCTTAGATGGGGCCAGCTGAGCAAGGGCAGCTGCACTTGGGGGAGATGGGAGAGGGTGGTCAGAATCCAGATGCCTGGGGACAAGCAGCAGACCTTCCTGCAGGGTTAAGTGCAGCAGACAGGCAATGCCCTGACAGGCTGAGAACTATGTGGGGGAAGCTGGGAGGGTGAGGTCAGCCCGCATAGGGCATGGAGTAGAGTGGTGAGCAGTGTGCAATGGCAGGTGAGGCCTGGGAGATTCCACCGCGGCCACAGGTAGCTTGCAGCCTGTGGAAGGTTCTTTTTACAGGCTGAGGAGCGGGGTGGAGAATGGAGCAACGATGGAGATGATGGGAGTTTCCTCCTAGTTTGGCTTGGAGCAGCAGGGGCCACAGGGAAGTCGTGCCAGGTGGGAACAAGGGAAATGTCCCTGCAGCAGAGAGCTGTGCCTGGTAGCCTCAGGCTTCTCCAGGCAGTAGGAAAGAGGAGGGAGTCCCAGGAAACACACCGGTCCCCATGGCAAGGGAAGGATACCACTCGGCCTCCACGGCTGTTTGAGCAACCCGGGGGAGCAGTGAAGTGGGGCTGGGGCAGCTGGGTAAGGATGGATGCCAGAAAAAGGAAGTTCCTCAGGGTGAAGAGTGAGGGGGCATGATGAGACAGGTCCACCTGCCCACCTGAGGAAACTGTGCCAGCCTCCAGTGGTGCAGACCAATTCTGAGATCCTACTGCTCAGGGCCACACCCAACCTGTCATTGCTCTTGGTGGACTGAGGGCATTCCTGAGTGTGGCCAGCCACACAGGAAGCGCCACGGAGGGGAAGAGGTAGGTCAGACACTGCTGTCCCTGCGACCCAACAGCAGGCAGCCTCCTTGCCCTTGTTCGGGGGCCTGTCCTTTTGGGATGCATAGGAAGATAATGAGGTGCATTCTGGAACTTTCTGGAGCTCAGATTTTGTGTCTATGTGTGTGTCTGTGAAGTTGAGGCCTCTTGAGTGTTTGGTTGCCGTTGAATCCTTGTGTAGAATGGCCATTTTCCACACATGGGCTCATTCTTAATTAGCTGGTTGTTTGCTTCACAGCTGACCCAGGGCCTGGCTGGGGTTGTCTGTAGAAGCAGCTCTTGGTGTCCCTGGGCAGTGTGATCTCACAGGGACATCTGGTCCTGCCAGATGCATCTTGCTGGCACGGTTGCTCATGAGGTTCTGCACCTGCTCACCTGCCTCTTACAAGAGCATCCCCATCATGAAAGAACAAAGTGGCCACAGCAGTTCTCAGGCAGTGTGTGGCCCCAGGGGATGCTGAGTGCTCTACAGGGCACAGATGTTGTCAGCTCAGGTCCCTCTGGCCCCACCTTGCACAGAATGACCTGTGTACCTGTCGGGGAAATCCTGGCACTAACACCCTGGCAACTATGTACATGTGTACATGAGCCCAGGAGCCCACAGTTTGCTCAGCAGTGTCCTTCCCTGGCATCTAGGAAGCCTCCTCAGCACGTGCCCTCTTCCCATCCCCTCTAACACCTCATCCTTGGCTCTGAACTTCAGAAAAAACAAGAGCTCCAAGGGGTCCCTTCAGCTCCCAGCCCTCACCAAGAACCCAGTGTGGTGCTTGTGCATGGGAACAATCCTTGAGGACAGACCCTCATTCTGGTTGGGTCTGCCCACACCCTGCTCATCATGCTATGGAGCTGACTCAGTGCCAGGCTCCTTGGGGTGGCTGTCCTCTTGATGCCTGCTGCCCTCCCTTGGGGATCCTGGGTGTCTCGCAATGAGCACCATTGACTGTTGTTGGGGTCCATGCAGTGGGTGTGGGGGACACAAAGGTGTGAAGAGTATTGTTCCATTGCAGGCAGGGCCGCAAGGAACTTCCCGCTATTTGGCAGGGCCCAGCGGACATCTCTACAACCTTCCACCTTTTTTTGCATGGACACTGGACCACCCTGTGGAAGAATTCTAATCCATCCAGGCATTGTTTGCTACTGTGAGGCTGGCCTTTTAGTCAATGTGAGCTTGGAGGTTAATGTTAATAAAAATGTCTTGCAAAAGGGCCTTCTATTATTCCTACTGTCTTGGCAGTTTCCATTGACCTTATGCTAATCAAGGGACCTATATTTAGGGTTTCATTCTTTCCTTGATCTTTAGGTTCCCCTTTTCTTTGATACAAGATTGAGTTGTAGGATAAGAATTGTAGCAGGAACTTCTATTGTTTTTAGGTAAAACAAATGGCAGAATTATCCTTAGAAAAACCCACTTGACCATGATGTAAAAAGTCTGAGCCAGAGTTTGACTGATTTTGTATAAATAAAGCGGACAGCTTTCGTGCATTGTCCATTATGATCATGAAATCCTAGTGGTCCGTTTTTCTTTCCCCTTTGCGCCTCATCCACGCACCCTTCACGAGTTCCGAACTCAGCTGGAGCTGGACTCCGGCAGACTGTGGGACATCAAGGTGACATCAGGCACGGCAATTCCCATGGGGAGAAAGAGAACTCAAACAATTTAATGATGGCTTTGATTGACAGACAACAGAAGGACAGACCTTTCTCTCCATGCAGTGGTCCAATCAAACTCGGGGACTAATGGTGTCACCGAGGACGGGAGCCTCCTGTGTCCTGTCTCTCTCCCCAGTGTGGCTTGGCAACTGTAGACACTGGGGACAGGTGGGGCAGGTGGCAGGGTGAGCAGGAATGCATGGGCATTGCCACATCCCTTGCAAGGGGAGGAGCCCCAAGCTCCCAGGAGTCTCCAGAGGGGTCTGGGCTGTTCTTGAGGGCTGGTACAGGACACAGCAGGAGGGGGACCTTGCTGAATGCTGGGCTGTGCTTCCTTCAACCCGGAGTGTTGGATGCCCCAGCGCCTTCTTCTGAGGACGCACATCCCCAGGACTTGGAGGTGGAAGGGTGGAGAGGGTGCAGCCAGGAGAGATGCCATTCAGTCCTAAGACCAACTCCAAGATGGCACAGCTTTCCCGCTGCTGGCCTCACCACCTCACCCCCATAGACCTGGGGAGACTAGAGATCTGAAACTGTCCCTGTACCATCGTGTTCCCTGGTTAAAACAGCAGAGTCCTGCATTTTTAGAGGAAGAAGTAGGACAAGTACCACAGGCTGCCAGAGGGAGGCTTCGGGAAAGAATGGCCCTGTGTCGACACAGGGATGCATGTGGTCCCCGACTCCGTCCAGTGGGCAGCACAGCCTTGGGTCTTGGAGTCCCCGGCGCCCTTTTAGCTGAGCATCTTGTGCCGATCGAAGACCGTCTTGCGCTGTTCCTGCACCTGCAGCTTCCACCGCTGCTGGGCCCCTTCCACGCGCTCCAGCACCGTGTTGGCCCGGGGGCCCCCGAGGGATGCAGCGACTGCAGCCATAGAGCGGGCGTCCTGCAGCAGGAAGGAAAGAAAGGGGCAGTTCTGGTACGGCTGGCTCTAGGTGCAGGAGGACTCGGAGCTTCCAGCAGGCTGGGGACACCCTAGAGGACCTGGCCTTGTCACCTGCAGGACCTGCCAGAGCAGCCTGCAGGGTCCCTGTTCCTGCAACATGGTTGCAGGCCCATTTCTGCCTCCCGAGAGGACTAAAGAGTGGAGGCTTTTCAGCAGGGGACTTTGGGCTAAGGCCACAAGCCAACACACTGTGATGCCGCCCGCCCACCACTGCCCAGGGGAAAGGCAGGATGCCCCAGGATGGGCTCCAGCCACCTGACCCAAATGGGAGGGGCCTGCTCAGGGAGGGAAACTTGGAGCTGGACCTCTGCACTGGCATTTTAGGACCTGTTCTGCCTCCTGCTTGGCACGCCCCCCCCCCCAGACCTGCCTCTTGTCAGGAGCATCCTCCCCTAATTAGCACCTCCGTGCCTTTGTGCATTTCCTGAGAGACCCCAAGCTGATCTTTGGGGTGGGAGGGATGAATGCCGAGGGCCAGGCCCACCCCCCATGGGGATTTCCTCCCTGGCTCTCTCTGCCTCTCATCTCCTGCCACTCGTCTCTTAAGGGATTAGCGATCCCCTCTAAGCCCAGAGCCGCCCAGTAAATGCAACTTAGCTTCGAACGCCCCTGAGCTGGCGCGGCTTCTGTCGCCTCACACCTGCCAGGCTGCGCAGGCAGGAGGGGTGCGGGCGAGAGGGGAGGGTAAGCAAGACAAGGAAGGGGCTGGCCCTGCAAAGGAGGCCAGGCGAGGCGTCAGGGAAAGTCTCCTGTGACTGCTCATCTCCAGGGTAAAGGAGGTAGGGAAGCCGGGGTCCCCTGGGGAAGGCTTCTTCTGTCCTTACGGGACCAGACCCTACCCGAGAGGCAGGTGCAGGCAGTGTTGGGCAGGGGGCGCACTGAGCTCGGAGGAAGGCTGGCTCCTGGAGGTCTCCTGGGTTCCAAGCTGTGCCCCAAGAAGTACCTGTTCCCTGTAGCCTCAGACACCCCTGGGGTCCATCTGTGATACTACCACAGGCAGCACAGCAGGGGCTGGAAGGACAGGGCAAGACCTTGGCTATGTGGCCCTGGACAAGTCACTCCATTCGCCCCAAAACTTCAATTTAATAAATCTACCCAGTATGCACACACACACTTCCATTTTGCTAAAATCCCCAATTTCATTTCATGACTCAAAGGCTTGTGACCCACAAGACACTGGTTCCTAGTGAGCAAAGGGGTAGAGTGAAGCTAAATAGCAGGCAGACCTTTAGATGGTCACGGAAATACATACACCGGCAGACACAAGGACTTCCAACTTTCCTGCCGCAGGACAGACGCTGTCTTTTGCTTCCATTTCTCACACACATCCTGCAGCCCCTGGTATACCAGATACCAGGCAGCAGCAGGAGAGAAGAGATGTTTGGTTGGCTCCTCCCCTGGCAGTTTAGCACAATGTTTAAAACCAAACCATCCTGGCTTTGAATCTTGGCTCTGACCCTAGCTGGGTGGGTGACTTTGGGCCAGTTACGGGACTCTCAGGACCTATTCTTCCATCCTGAGGCAGAGATTGAAACAGCATCTCCTTAATCATACAGTAGTGCTAATTATCCACTCTCCACCCCCCACAAACCCTAGGCGGTTCTACAAGGTGGGGGTCAGGACAGAAGTGCTGTCTGTGGCGGACAGTCCCATCTCAGGGTTCAGCTGGGCCACGTGGGCATGTGCAGCACTGTGGACTGGCCTCAGCCAAGCTGATCTTCCTTACTCAGCCATCCCGATTCGGAGGGCCATCGGGGCCCCTGCCCTGTCCTCCATGAGCCCTCTGCATCCTGGGACAGCCTCTCATGGAGCAGTGCCAGTGAGAGCCGACAGCAGGCATTAAGGAGCAGGCAGAAGGCACAGTGTGGCAGTCTCATCTGTTTCCATCACGTGCAGCCTTAGCCAACAGTCCCTGTGTGGGCAGCTGTATCTGCCAGCTCCGCAGCAGTGTGGCGGCAGGGCAAGGGCCAGGCCTCGCACCCATCTGCTCTACTGGTGTCCTCTGTGCGGGAACCACAGGCCTGCCAAAGTGCGGGCCACAACTGCTCTCCAGGTCAGAGCACAGCCAAGTGCCTGTGGAGGCCCAGGGAAAGCCTCCTTCCCGACGCTGGGAAGACCCTGACACCCAAGTGGCTAAGCCGGAGCTCTGCCCTCTTGCAGCTGGCCTTCGGTCCTTGTCCCCAATCCTGGGGTGGGGAGCGTGGCCAGGCAGGCAAGTAGGGCCTTCATGCAAAGCAGCGATGCGGCTGCTCTGTATCAGCCCAAGGTTAGCTCTGACCCTGGCTGCCTGTCACCTTGCCCAGGGGTCACATCATGCTGCTGCACTTTCCATTTTCCCCAGCTCCCCTGCAAGCCCTACCAGACTGCGAAGGGTGGATGAGCACTTAGAAGGCGCTCACACAGCACTGTGGTGGGGCTGAGCTAAGAGCCATTCCATCTACTCCAGACTCAGGCCAAGCACAAGGCCAGGCCCTTGAGGGGAATCGGGGGTGGAGTCTGGGTGAGGGGCCTGAAGCCCCTTTCTCAATGACTACACACGGTGCTGTCCTTGAGGGATGTTATAGAAATGTCTGCAGAATCCCACACCTGCACTCAGGGAGAAGGAAGGACACTGGTCACCCTCATTGTCCTGGTCCTTTGTACTTCCCAGGGCTGCAGGTCCCTGTGTCCTCTCTCTTCCCCATAGATGCATGAGGGAGGGCCTGCTACCCATCACCTTGCCTCGATTCCCCTGTATGCCCCCACTCAGGGGCGAGGGCCTGAGGACCCCCATCCCAATCTCAGGGGCCCTCACTCGCCACTCTTCAAAGGGGGCCAGCCCCGTACACCTGACACGGCTCTGTTTGCCATTTCTGTCGCAGCAAACAGGCCCGCTTCCTCCTTTCAAAGGGCGTCTGAGCCTGGGGATTAGCCCTAATGCCGCTGGAATCCCAAGAGGCAGCGCCCCCGCAGCCGCGCCCACCAGGGCTCTGCCAGGGCCTTCAAAGCTTGCGCTGGAGGCTTTCATCTCCCGCCACGGACCCCCACCGCCCCCTCCTCTCCTGGGCCCCCAGCCTCAGGGCAGGGGTGCTCTTGGCCTTAGGAAATGGGGCCCAGAGGTGCTCTGACCACCACAGCTCAGCTTGGGTCCCTGACTCAGGGTGGAGGGGGAGGGCAGCGCTGGGAGGCCTTAGGGCCTGCAGGGTCTTTATTTTATTTATTTATTTGAAAGGCAGAGTGAAAGAGAGAAAGAAAGAGAAAAAGAGAACTTCCATCTCAGTCCACCCCTCAGGGTCGGGCCAGGCTGAAGCCAGGAGCCTGGAACTCCTTTCCCAGGTACATCAGCAGGGAGCTGGACAGGAAATGGAGCATGCAGGACTCACTCGCACAGGCACTCTGGTATGGAAGGCTTAGCCCACTGCATCGCGGTGCCAGCACCGAGGTTCTCCCTCCAAGGGTGCCAAGGCTGGGAAACCTCGCCCTGGCTTTCTTGGTCTTAGGAAGAAGACTAAACCCTGCCAGGTCCTGGGGGCCCACTCTTTCTCAGTTGCTGCTTGCTCAGGTGGCCCTGCCCCTCGCACATTGACTGAAGTGGCCCAGTAAACTAGTGAACTATCCCTCCCAGGCATCTTTGGAAGGTGACAGCCTGCCCATCCTCCTGCTTGGCGTTGCCTCTGCCAGGCAGCCTTCCTTCCTGAGGTCACATAGGAAGGACCCTTGTGTTTCAGGTAGCTGAAGTCCAGGGCAGATGCAAGGTCTGGGTTGTGTTCATATGCAAGCCCTGTAGCCATCAGGAGCCCAGATGGAACCCCAGGGATGAATGGTGCACAGGGGTGTCCAGCGTCCTCATCCACCCACTGTTGCCCCACAAAGGCGTGACCCTGGGGTGGGAGGCAGGGGGCCACCATATCCATGCCAGTCTCCAGGGCACTGAGCCTGGAATTGCCAGCACTGCCTGGGACAGCCCACGGCCCTAGCAGCACGTGTGTCCCATTCAGCATGGCTGGACAGCGGCCTTACCCCATCATTCCTGCCTCCCAAGCCAAACCCTCTGACTCTGCTTCAGCCTCCACAAGTAGGATGGCGGGCTCCAACCCCTCCTTCCACCCCTGGGGCCCCTCCCACAGCCAGACTCCAGGTGAGGAGCACCCTTACCCGACAGGCTGCCCGCCCCTGGCTCCACACCCAGGACGCCAGGAGCCACAAGGCCGTGCCCGAGAGCCACACATTCCGGCGAAATGGCAGCAGGGGCTTGTAATCATGGGCTCTCAGGGACGCCCCCACTCAGGGCTGCAATTAGCGCCGCGCCCTAATCGCCGCAGGCTTGGTGGCGACGCCCCTCCCCTATCAGAGCTGCTATTACTCCGCATTAATCACCAGGTAGGCAGGCGAGGCTTCCTCTTGGATGCAGACCACCCAACTGCCAACGCCAGCACCGCCAGTTCCCTGGCTCCTGGGACCAGCCTCACACCCTCCACTCCACCTCCGGCCAAACCCTTGTCAGCAGGAGGCTAGGGCAGCCTGGGCACATACCAAGGCAGGCAGCTGTTGCTTCCCTTCCTCCCCTGCCCTGGCCCCTGCTCATGTCAGCCCAGATGCATTGCAACTGGGCAGTGCGCACACACACACACCCCTTGTCCCCCTCCAGTCAAGGACTTGGGGAACTCTGAACTCTGACTGCCTGGAGCTAGCTCAGCCAAGGCCAGGCTACCTCTATTGACCTCCAACACACAACTGCACAGGCTGTGTTGTCGGCAGGAAGTCTGCCCCTGGAGCCATCACCGGGCTTGCAGGCCCCTCCACTGCTCTTTTATTTCTTCCATGGTAGAGCCACTTCCCCACCACCAGTGCATGAGCTCGCTCCCTGCTGCCCTCACTCCATCCAGGGAGCAGCAAGGGCCTCCGGACACAGCCCAGGAACACAGTGTGTTGTGTCTCCTGAGGAGGAAGTGGTGGGAGTCAGGCCCCTGCTTCAGACCCGCATCCCTGCTGTCATGCATCTGGCCAGCTGTGGTGAGTGTGACTGGGAGGGTTTGGGGCACACGTGGGGCTATGTGGTCACCACTGCCTAGGAGACGCCCTCCTCCCCAGCTCCGCCAACAAAGGTGGCTCCTCTCTGCAATACTGGGCAAAACTGGAGGATGATGGGAGAAGGGTGGGGAGTGGCCATCAGTGTGCTGGGCCTGGCATGAGCGCGACCAGCAGCTCACCTACCTTTGCCCATGCTTCCACGGGGCCTGCAGGGGGTCTGGGGCCAGCGAGTCCCCACCTTCCTCTGAATAAATCTAGAAGCCAGGAGCTCCCCATCTGAGAAAACCAAGAAGCTCCCTGGACATTCCTGCCCTTGCAGCTCCTCCCCAGCTACCCCTGCTTGCCCAGAGGTCCTCACGTAGCCATGGCAACGTCACTCCCATCAACATCTACCCGGCTCCCCCTTTGCTCTTGAGGTCCTGGCTTACCCTGCAAGGCCCCAAGGCCATGCCTACCTTGTCCAAGAGCTTCACAGATATTTATGTGATCTCAGAACCCACCGCTCCCAAGTTCCCCGCCAAGCCACCCTAGTGCCTGCACTAGTGCGTGTATATGTCTAACAGGAGGCACAGCTCCCAGCTCATGCAGGGACACTGGCAAAATACTGGGTCATCACCACTTCAACTCAAGGCCAAGGGGAGTCCCTGCTGAGTCGGGGTCGGGTGGAGGACACTGGAGCACGAGGGTGACCCCTCCCAAGCTTGGGTAACGCTCTCCACGCTTGGCCCTGGGGGCTCACAGAGTGGGGCTTGGGGCATGACTACCTCATTTTCCTCCTCGTTGTGTAGCCGCTCAGTGTACGCGTCCGGTTTCCGGATTAGAGGATCCACCAGCATCAGGAAGGCCATGTAGAGAAGGAGGGCCCCAACCACGGACAGGTAGATGACGATGATGACCTAGGGGCAGTCCCAAGTGCTCTGTGAATACACCTGCTAGGGGCCAGGAACCCAAGGCCCTTCCGCTCTGTGCCACCTGGTGGTGACCCCAAAGCTACCCTGAGGCAGGACTAGGAGGTAACCCTGGCCAAGAGGGCTCCCCAAGAACAGTGAGGCATGTGCTAGGCTTCCTGGGATGGCAGTAGGATGCCGCAGCTAGAGACTGGGGCTCACAAGGGAAGGCAGGAAAGCCATCAGGGACAAGGACTGGAACAGAAGCCAGCAGCTGGTGATAGCGAGAGTAGAGGCCAGTCAGAGGGTGCCCGGGCCAGCAGGTTCAGGGACCACATGCAGACAGAATGGATATGGTGCCAGGCACCCCTGCACAATGGAGCTGAACACATGGGTAAGGGACTCCGCCACTGGCTGAGGCTGCCCAACAGGCAGTGGCAGGCCATTCCCCACCTCCCACAACAACAGCATCCCCATGGGTGTTTATCTTAAAGACAAGACCCATTTGGTGGGTCAGAGTTTGAGGTGTGCAGAGCAGCTGTAAGGTAGGACCCTCTAAGCAAGCAAGCAAGCAAGCAAGCAAGCAAGCAGTACCTGACTCTCTGTAATGGGGTTGGTAACACAGCCCAGTTACCCGGACCACAGGATCACCTCCATGAGCCTGTGGGTACACCCACACTCACTGAGAAAAGGGCCTGCAATCACCCAGCCCAGAAAGTGCAGATGGGGAGAGGCAAAGCCATGACCTAGCCCCATGTTGCTGCCTCCACCTCAGACACTGTGCTGACCTCCACCATGCCTGGCCACTGCCTCCTGCCCGAGCCCTGGGCTGGGGGGAGGGGGAGGAGGGGTGGCAGGGGAAAGGAAGGAGAGGATGGGAACTTGGGACTTTCAAGTTTTGTATCCAGTCCAGTCAACAGCCAAGTTCAACTGGATTGGCTTCCTCCCTGGCTAAGCCAGTAGCATTCAGGATGCTCTACACAGGATGAATGATAAGACCTCAGGCTGTACCCCAGAAAGGAAGAACCCCTTGGGTAAGAACCGGACAGAAGCCTGCTGACTCGGGAGCCTCCTGAGGTCCCCACGCCGCGGAGTCACTTCCCTGTTAACCTGTCTGTGCACTGAACTGAAGCTTTCTAGACTTTGGTCCCAAGAATTGGGACAGTGGGAGCAAGTTCAGAGAGGAGACAGCGGGCTGTGTGGGGCGGGGGGACTGCGGGCAGAGGACAAGTAGCTCCTTGGCACTGTGAGCCCAGAGTGGGCGACAGCTGGGGGACAGGGGCTGCAGCTCCCTGCAGCAGGAAGGGAGAGGACAGCGGTGAGCACAGCTCTCTCCCTGAAAAGAAGGGGCAGAAGGCACAGCTGGACAGGAGAGATAATCCCATAGCTTCCCAAAGCGCAGCTGGAGGGGAAAGAGACCCCCACAACTCCTCAAGGCATAGCTGGAGGAAAGAGGGAGACCACCCCACAGCTCCCCAGGGCACAGCTGGATGGGAGAGAGATAGAGATAGAGAGAGAGACTCCTACAGCTCCTCAAGGCACAGCTGGAGGGGAAAGAGACCCCCACAGTTCCTCAAGGCACAGCTGGAAGGGAGAGGGAGACCCCCAACAGTTCCCTATTGGGGAGGGTGAGAGTCGGGAGCCAGCTCTGACTACAGGAAGTGGGTCCCCACGTCTGTAACAGACCAGCCTAGGAGCTCAGAGGCCTGGCTCAGCCACTTGGAATATTCCAGAAGAAACCTGGCCTGCAGGTGCAGGGGCTGGGGGCTACCTTGATGGTGGTGGTGCTGCGCTCCTCGTACTTGCACTCACACAACAGGCAGTAGGCTTCCACGTCGTGCCCCGGCACCGGCATGGGCTCCACCACATGCAGGCAGTTGCTGCAACACAGACAGCAGGGCCATGAGGAGCGGGGGGGGGGCAGGGTTTGGGGGAGAAGTGTCAGGCAAAACTCCACAGCCCACCATCTCTATCGCCACTGAACTGGCCATTGGCTCCCCACACAGGGGACCCCACCACTAAGCCCCATGCCGCGCATGCCCTGTTCCCAAAGCTCCAACTTGGAGGTGGCATGGGCTGGACTCTCAATCTCCACTCTCAGTGCTCCCGTGAGCTGACCCTCACATTAGCCCTATAAGGTCCAATCTGAAAGTCTCAAAGAGACACCCTCACCTCTCCAGTCCTGCACAGGCTCACCCAGTCCCACACAGGCTCACCAGCTGTCCTCCCCAGGGGCAGAGAGTATACCTCTGCCATCCACCCCGCTGGCTGGTCCCACCCTCAGGGCAGGCATCTCTGCCATGTTTTCACTCTCAGCTCTGCTCCCTGTCCTGCCGCCTCCCATGCCGGTTCCGGGGTCCCCACTGCCCCTCCCTGGAACTGCATACCTGGCCTACCACCACCAGCGCACCTCCACCAAGGAGCCTCACCACAGCAGAACCCTGCTCTCATCAGCATAAGGCTCAAAACCAGACAGTGCATCCCCAACACCCCAGGGTGGGGCTAACGAAGCTCTTCTCCTATCCTGAGGGTCTCCCACCCAGCCTGCTCTCTGGCTGAGCCATACCCACAACCCCTTAGGGGTCCTGGCTTTGAAAGGTGACTTGGGTGTGTGCGAAGTGTCAGTAGATTTCCCACAAGGCCACAATAGGGTGCGGCTGGAAAGGGTTGACCCGGTTTCCAAATCAGGGTCCTGTTCCTCAAGATAACAGCTCTAAGGAGTAAAGGATGGAGTTGCCTCTGGCTCTTCTAGGAACCAACAAGGTCCTTCCTGGCGTCTCCCTTCTCGGCCTCTGGGACCTGTGGGACTCGAGGGGTCAGGGAGGAGCACAAGGGGAGCTTGGCCACATGTGCTCTTCAACCTGCTGTGTCCGCAGGGAGTGGGCTTAACCCCACCGCGCCTTGGCTTCCACACTTACAAGCATGGCCTGACCTTACTAGAGGTGCCTTTTGGGGAGGCAGGGGGTCCCTGTGCAGGAGCCAGAGGGGCCAAGGTTGCTTCTCCCTGCCTCCCAGCCACAACAATCCTGGTTTGGGCTTCACACGTTTCGTGCTTCCTCAACAGTTTCTGTCTGTAGAGGGGTTGGTATTACCGTCCATATTTATGTAGGGGCCAGCACTGTGTGTGGCAGGGAGCTGAACTAACGCCAGTGACACCACCACCACACATGAGTGCTCATGCCCGGCCACTCTACTTCCAGTCCAGCTCCCTGCTAATGCGTCTAAAAATGCAGCTACTGACAGCCCAAGTGACTGGGAGGGAGTTCCAGGCTCCTGACTTCAGCCTGACCCAGACCTGGCCATTGCGGCCATGTGGGTCAGTGATCCAGTGGATCAGAAATCTCTCTGTCTTGCCCTCTTTGTCATACTGTCTTTCAAATAAATAAATCTTTAAAGGAAAAAAAAAAAAAGTCTTCTGGACCTTGCCAAGGTGTGAACTGTCCTAAGAGACACTCAGATGGGAGCTGCAGAGTGAGCAGCTGGTCGTCTTCGGGGTTCCCGCCAGGCCTGGGATGACCAGCAGGGTCACCGAAAGAGCAAGACGGCTGCTGTTTTATCAAGTCGAATCCCAACAGCCTTTCAAGGAAATAGATTTTTAGACTATGTTTTTAGATGAAAGGCAGAGTGAGAAAGGGAGAGATGAAGAGAGAGGTTCCATCCTCTGGTTCACTCCTTAGGCGGACCAGCAACTGAGGCTGGGCCAGACCCTAGGTCTCCACTGTACCCTGGCAGCTTCACAAGGGGCCCAGTGTTTTCTGCCTTCCTCTACAGTGCAGATACATATCTTCAACACTAGATGGCAGAATACCAGCAGCCCAGGGGCCAACTGGACAGACGCAGAGAAGACCAGCAACAGAGGCCACTGAGCCTGAGGCCTGCGACTCTGAGGGTTCTGGCTTCACCCCATGTCACCAAGGGGACACGGCCACTGCTGCCCTGCAGGGGACCACATATGTCACCAGAGTGACAATGTGGCAGTGACCTGAAAACCCAAAGTGGCCCTGAGATGCTAAGAGTCTGGAGGTCGTGGAGCAGGAACCAACCCCAAGGCCCCAGAAAGCCTGAGCTGACCCAGGCCTGGTAAGTCTGACAGACTCCTGGCATCTTGGAGCCTCACCTCCCGGCCTGCAGCCCTCACACACATCACCCTTCGTGGAACTGTCTAGAGGGTCTGGGCATACAAGGCTGTTGGCCAGCAGCCCAGAATTCTGACTTCTAGGGGCATCAGAGGATGTGGAGGCAGTACAGCCAGGCACATCTGGACAGGACTGTAGCCAACCATGCGGGGGTCTTCAGGCCGTGGGTTATATGCTGACAACCCACAGGAGCATGCAATACACCCTATTACAAGAGGATTAAGTCAGCCCCTCTACACCATGCCATCTAAATAACAACCCGGGCCTCACGCCCTGTGGGTCATCAGGACAGGCGGAAGAAAGAGCAGGAAAGTCTGCTGTTTTGGATTTGGGGAAAGCCACTGTTTTCCCAGGCTGCAGGCTAAGCGTGGCGCTGACTCTGCTGCCCCCAGCTCACGCGTTGTTAATCACGCTGTGACTGGGAAGCATTTATATGTCACCAACAAAGCTGTTGTTACAGGTGGTCTCGACTTCCTCTACTTTCCAACTGCAGCCAGACAGGGGTGGGAGCCACAGCTCCCAGACGGCCCAGCTGTGGTGAGGGCCAACAACTCCCACTCGCCTGTGTCCCATGTCCCTAAGCAGACGTGCTGTGTCGATTCACTGTGACCAAGGCATGCTTCAGTGTACAATATTTTCAAGCTATCAAAGGCTTTTGGGGACATCACTTCACTGTACGTTGGGGAGCGTCTGCATTGTGCACGGCTGTGTGTGGAGTGTCTGCATTGTATATGGCTGCGTGTGACTGCACACATACACACTCCATATCTTGCCTCCATTCTAGTTCTCATTTATTTGAAAGATAAGGAAATCAAAGCTTGCTGGCAACAAAGTATTTCACGTGGTTCCCAAGGGGCAAAGCCGAATTTGAAGCCGGATCTGAAGCCTGGAAGGGTGGCTGCGGAGTACATGTGACCAACTGCAACTGCTTGGAGTTGGACATAGCGCTAGCTTCAAAATGCTTCACTGGGTCAAGGGCATCCCGGGCACCTAAGGAGGCTGCCACCACCTTGCCCAGGTTTTCTTCACAAAGCTTGCCCGAGGATCTAGCACATGCCCAGCAAGTGCAGTACAAACCCAGGTCTGCCTTCCCGGCTGAGCTCTTTGACAAGGAGTCTGTGCTCAGATGCCTCAGCCCACGCACTGTGGAAACCACTCACAGCAGTGGGGGATGCCTCCCCTGGCAGCCGGCCCTCCCCACAGCCCTGGTCCTGTCCACTTGAGGCCATCTCTAGCTCCTCGAGTCGTCCCTTGCAGGACCAAGTGCCTAAGCTTGCCTTCACCAAGCTGAACCAAATCATAGCAAAGCGAGGCTCCCGGAAGTGGATAAATCCCTTCAATTGCTTCTGTAGGCCTCAGTCTCTCCACGCATGAAATGGGAATAGAGCCTACCGACCCAATACCCTTCAGAAGGAGACCATCACACCCACCTCTCCCAGCTTCTGTGCTATAGTGCACATCATTAAAGTCTCAAATCCAAAGCCAACAGCGAAACTGATGCCCTGGTCAGGAACCCCTCAGGTGTACATGGTGGGGTTACAGTCACAACCAACCAAGGATAAGTGATTCCACAGCAAGGCTCTTCCCAGCGAGGGGAGAGCAAGTGTCCCCTGCAGGGGTCCGACCACCCTAAGGGACACCCCAGGGCCAGCCCGTCAGCAGCGCCTTACCAGTCCTTCTGAGACACATTCTGGTTGTAAATGTGCCCGCTGATGTTCCTGTACGGGGGACAGATGCACTTGCAGCGGATGTCTTCAGAGCTCTGGAAGGGAAGGCACCTGTGTCGTCACGTGACTGCCCGCGTTCAGCTGGGACTTCCTGGTGGAGAGGGCATGTGGCCACTTCTGTGTGGTCCACAGCAAGCTACCAAAGGCTGCCATTCCCCACGTCCAGGGGCTGAAGATGAGCAGCAAGACAAGCGACACCCTGGCACCTCCATCCACGAGGCTAACCCCATCTCCAAGGTCCTGGGTCACGAACACATGGGGAGCCCAGCAGCAAGAGGCAGCAGCCCAAGGAGTTCTTATCCTAAACAAGATTTCCTAAGAGGGAATGTAAACAAACCCTCTATGTCAATGGCTCAAGATCCTAGGGGCTTTCAGATGGAAATACTCCACAAGTGGACTGCAGGTCATCTGCCCCTCCAGATACCTGAGGACCCCATGGCTTCACGGGGTTCGACACAAGGCTTCACTTCCAGGCCATATGTGCACCACGGTGTGGCTGACCATCCCCAGCGGTGCGGCAAGGACACTCACAACTTTACCCAGGTGCAAGTCACGGCATCAAAAACTGTGGGTAAAGAACTCAATATCCTACCCGCCAGCCACCTCCATGCCGGAAGTCCATCCCTACAGGTCACTTAGAGCAGCACCCATACACTGGGCACGACACCCCAAATCCTCCCTCCACTTGCAGCCTGCAGCCCCTCCAGGCATATCCTCCCTGGAAGCCCTGGGGGCGAGGGCGAGGCAGGAAGGGTTCTGCCCCCTCACCTTGTTGGCTTGAGCTGGGGGCACCAGCAAACAGCCGACCACGGCCACCAAGCACAGGACCTTCATGCTTATCAGGCCGGCCAGATCGGCAGGTCCGGACGCCTGCAAGAGAGACGCGAGGGAGGCGGTCACCGCACGGCCCGGCACGCGCAGCCCCTCAGCCTGCGGGCCGGGCTGGACTGGGCCGGGCAGCGGGGGGCTGGGCCCGGGGGCCGGGCCGCGGGATCCCAGGGCCTCCTGACCACCAGGGCCCAGCGCATGGCTAGCCCTCCCCACTGGCCACCTGACGTGACCAGCAGGAGGGCTTCCTGGGCGCCGCGGCGTCGGGGGCCGGGGCAAGGCCGGGCTGTGACCCTCGCCCCGGCGCACCGCCCTCCGCCATCTCCTCCCCACTCCAGCCCGCCGGCAACTTTAAGTACAGAGTCTGGGAAGCCTGGTCCGACGTCCAGTGCCCACCGCGCCCAGGGTGCCCCCCCATACACCTAGTACCCCCCAAGACCTCCCGCACCCCTCCCCCAACTCGGGGTCCACGAACCTGCAACCCGGCCGCTGCCGCACGGGACCCAGCTGGCTCCGCCCCCGTCGGCGTGCTATTGGTTACTGGAGCAGCCACTCAGCACAACACTCAGCTGTCGCCTGGCAACAAAGCCCGCCTTCGCCTCGGCGCGCTGAGGCTCCCGCGCAAGGGAGAGAAGAGCAGTTCTCAAACTCGAACAGAGAAGAAAAGGGATTGTCTGCCTTGCTAGAGCCGCAGGGTTCGGCCGCGGTGTAGTTAGCACCATTCCTGCAGTGCTGCGCCCTTCCTGGGGTTGGAAAATTCAGCTTGAACCGTCTCGCACACTGTAGGACTGTGCCCTAGCCGTTACAAGAACATTAATACATGAAGGGGCTTGGTTCTGAAAATGGGAATGGAGGAAGGTATTCCTTGATTGTATCTTGACTGCAGAGGACCCACGCCCCCAGTGGAGGAGAAAATCAAGGTTGGCAGTGAGTAGGGAAGTAGGCACCACAGCCCTTGGCCAGGGGTCCCTGGCTGCTCAAGGCCAAAAGTGAGCTTCTCACTAGCTACGCAGGAGCTGAGAATGTCTGCGTTCGGGTCCCGGCCTCTGGGCCAGTGGCCCCACCACTAAGCAGCTGTGCTGCCCTGGAAGGCTCTGGCCTTCCCTACAGCTGGCCTCTGCAGGAAGTTGATGGGATTCCCAGATCCTCCTTGGCAATCCAGGGAGAAGGGAGGTGAAGGATGTGTAGTGTGAAAAAAAAAAAAAACACATTGGATTTGAGATGTCTTGCACCCAAAAATAAATAAAATATAAAATAATCTCATGTTTTGAAGCTGCACAAGGGCCATGGACAAGAGGAAAATAAGCTTGGCCCATCCCAGTACAACCAGGCAAGTTCTTAAGAAGGGTCTTTTCCAGCTGCTCTGGAGAAGGAGATGTGGCCATGGAAAGACACTAGATGTGTCCTGGCTGGCTTTGCCCACAGAGGGAAGGGCACCCAGCTATGGCCCTTGGGTGTCTCTAGTGGCTTGAACCCAGGGCAAGCAGTGGGAAGGGGAGGGCAGGATGAAAAGCCAGGCAAGACCTCAGTGACATCAACATAGGATGGGAGCCAGGAAATGTGCCAGGACCCCAGCGTGAGCTCCCTGTGCCACACAGACATCTGCATCAATCCTGGGGCCACTTGATGCCAGGCACCTCCATCCCCAGCAGTTACCCACCAGGTACCGAGCTCTCTATGTTGGGAACCTCCTGGCTCAGCTCCTTGCCCTGCACACTCACATGTTGTTGGGTGTAGACTTGACCATGTGCCTAAGTCTAGGGTAACAGTTCACTCTCTACTTTCCAATTTCTTACACAGTGTCTTAGGGTGTGTTTGCTTGTTTTTCAGGGCAGAGAAGTGAACAGTCGGCAAGGTAGGGTTGTGGGAACTGTCAGGGACCAAAATTGGCAAGATGTGGGCTCTACTTTGAGCTCAGCCCCATTACAGCACTGGTCCTGCTGGGGCGCCAGCTTCCCCTGGCTCCCAAGAGGCTGGCTTAGAGCAGCAGCTTATAAACCTTGTGATCTGATGTTTTCACATAGTTGCAATAGTGACTGAGGAGCCTAGAGAGCTTTTGCTTATGGGAGTTCTATCTGTACACACAGTGTTCAAATTCGGACTGAGAAATTTTAAAACAATGGTTTGAACAAGCTTAATAAACCCCAGCATGTGTAACACATCTTTTGATGGGAAAAAATCCTATCTTTTCCAAAAGAAAAACATGTCATGAGAAAAGTGGCATCAGTTTTTTTTTTTTTTTCCTAATAAATTCTCTGACTCTGGTTGAATAGAGGACAGCTGAATTTTCACATCTGCTCCTGCCTTCAGTTGCCTGCGCCATAGCATGTCATCTTGCCTTTGGAAAATTCCACAGGAAGCTTGCAGAAGATTGCTGGGAAAAAGGCTGTGTGCTGATGAATTTACTGTGAGAGTCGTGGGAGTCCCCGGGGGTCTCAGATCATGCTTCCTAAACTGCTCTTTTCTTAGAAGACACTAAGATTTCTACCAGAGCTGAGCAGTCTGTGGTCTTCCTGAGATTATCTACCGTGGTGGTTTTCAAAACCCACTTCTGGTATACACTCCCAGGAAATGGGTCGCAGTGTGGTGCCGGAAGTGGGGCAAATGTGGTTTCTTTGAATATATCAGTTTGGGAATCCTTAGTTCAATGTAAAATCACGTAGGGCACATGCTAGTGCAAGTCCTTTAAGATGCTTTGGTGTGATAACCTTATTGTGAATTCCCTAAAACAGATTTTGTGTGATATTGATCATAGTCTTGACCACAAACTCCATACTGAAGACAAAATTTCTTTCTCTAAGATTTATTTATTTATTTGAAAGGCAGCAAGAAGAGGAGAGAGAGAGAGAAATCTTTCATGTGCTGATTCACTCCCCAAATGTCCACAACGGCTGGGGTTGTGCCAGGCCAAAGCCAGGAGCCATTATGGTGGAGGCTTGCCTGAGGTCAGGAAAAGAGAACTTAACTGCAGGAATGAAATGTGCTTGTCATCTCTCCTTGTTGCTTGGAACTATTTTGTACCCTAATTGTCTGCACAGAACAATGGGGTTAGTCTATGCCAACACAGCACGCAGCTCAGTGTGTGGGGGAAGGGAATATCAGGGGTTTCAAGGGGAATTAGCTAAACTTTATCAGTAACTGGTCTGTGTATGTATATGCAGTTTTCTATTGGTTCCTATAGCTGCCGTGTAGCATTAAGACATTCAATCAAAAATGCGTGGAACCACATGTTGGGGGCAAAGGAGCTGAAAATACGTATCATGAAATGTCTCTATCTACTCTGTCTTCCATCTACTGTCCACTCCCCAGATGGCCGAGCCGAACCAAAGCCAGGAACCAGGAGCTTCTTCTGGTCTCCCATGTGGGCGCAAGGACCCAAGCCTGGGGCTCAGTCTTTTGGATACATATCCAAATCAGCCTTTTGTTGTAACAGTAATAATAATAGCAATAAACAATAGTAATAAAGAACTGCTTCCTGTCAAAGGCTTGGTGTCTCATCTCTGAGTTCCTGAATCTCTCCTAATACTACATGCCAGGAACATTTTTAAAAAGTGCAGTATCAGGGCTTGGCACAAGGGCTCCGTAGTTAATCCTCACCTTGCACATGCCAGGATCCCATATGCGTGCTGGTGTGTATCCTGGCTGCTCCACTTCCCATCCAGCTCCCTGCTTGTGACCTGCGAAAGTAGCAGAAGATGGCCCAAAGCCTTGGGACTCTGCTCCCATGTAAGAAACCCGGAAGAATCTCCTGGCTCCTGGCTTTGGATTGGCTCAGCTACAGCTGTAGTGGCTGCTTGGGGAGTGAGCCAGAGGATGGAAGATTTTTCTCTCTGTCTCTCCTTCTCTCTGTAAATCTGCCTTTTGAATAAAAGTAAGTAACTCTTTTAAAAATGCAATAATCAAAGGGTGTGATGCTGGAGGAGACAAAGACACATCAGTAACTGGACATCCATGGGCCAAAACAACAAGACAAACAAAAGAAAATAAAAATTAACCTCACGTGAAGTTTCCCACTGTATAAAACTGAAAAAAAAAAAAAAAAAGAAAGCCATGGACTTAAATACAAAACCTTGGACTATGAAATTTTTATTTGAAAAAATCATAAAAGGAAAGGATTGGAAGGCCAGGTGAAGCAAGAGCTCTTCCACATGACATCAAAAGCACTGAGGAAAAAAAAACAATGATTTGGATTTTATTAAAGCTTTTTGATCTCCAAGGAATCTCATTCAGAAGATGAGTAGAAAACATCTGAGAAATGCTTCTCAGGCAAAGGGCTAATAGATGGAACAGAAAGACAATTTAGTATTACTTTTTAAAGATCTATTTGTTTTTATCTGAAACACAGATTTACAGAGAGAGAGAGAGAAATCTTCCATCTACTGTTCCCCAGATGACCACAACAGCTATAGCTGAGCCAATCCAAAGCCAGGAGCTTCTTCAGGTCTCCCACATAGGTACAAGGGGACAAGTACTCAGGCCATCTTCCAATGCTTTCCCAGCACATTAGCAGGAAGCTGGATTGAAAGTGGATCAACTGGTACTTGAACAGGCATCCATATCGGATGCTGGCACTGCAAGCAAAGGTTTAACCTACTATGTCATGGCCCTGGCCTTTGAGAATTTAAAAAACTCAATGGTAAAAAAAAAAAAAAAAAAATTCCAGGAACTAGCCAAAAGTTAGGGAGGGGCATCTCCCTGTAGAGGACACACAGGAAGAAATGTTTGCCTCCAGCAGCAGACACCAGGAACGTGCAAACTAAAATCACAACTAGGAATCACTACCTAACTCTCAAAACGGCTAAGAAATCAACACCTAAGAAAAATGATAAGACCGGAGGCCAGCGAGGATGTGAAGGAATAGGTCACGCACACGCGGCTTGATGAAGTTATAAAATGATGCCGTGTCACTGGGAAATAATTTGGCAGACTTTTTTTTTTTTTTTTTTTAACAAACTGGAAATACCACATGACTCTGGGCAAGTGCACTCCTAGGCATTTAACCTTGAGAAACGGACCTTCATGGTTACACAAGACCTTGACCATGAACGTGTGTGGCAGCTTTATTCAAAATAGCCAAACAAAAAAAAAAAAAAAGAAGAAGAAGAAGAAAGTGGACAACTGAATGGTTAAGTCACTGGCAAACAGTTAAACATGGTTTGGAAGATACATGCCACAAGCTGTAACCCGGTGATGGAAAGGAATCTACCCCAAGTGCTTGCAACAACCGTGATGTGTTTCCAGAGAACATTATGGAGTCAAACAGTCTCCGAAAGGTTCCATACTGTATGATTCCCTTTATATAACAATCCAGAAATGGCAGGATTATGGAAATGGAGAACACGTTAGTGGTGGCCAAGTGCTTGAGGATCAGGGGCGAGAGGCAGAAGTTTAACTAAAAACAACAGCATAGAGATTGTTGTCATGATAGAAATGATCTGGAACCTTCACAGTTATCCCGCTTGTAATATTAACGTGAATAGCCTGCTTTTGATATTGCACCTTTGTTTGCACGATGTTACAGGTAGCTCT